TACTACTACTACTGCTGTTACTACTTATAGGTACAGCTAGTACTACTACAGCACCTCGCTAACGTCATGGCCATGACTATTACTGTTACTATTGCCGACACTCCTACTGTCGCCAGTGGTATCGCTATTTTTCACTGTTGCTATTTCGGCAACGACTACAACTGCACAACAGCTTTTTCCGTCGCTGGTGTTACCATTGCTACTACTGCTGCGGATGTTGTTTTCCTAATGCTCGTTTTTGATTTTAGTCGTCTTGTTCAACTTTACAGCCAGGTGCGGTGCGTTGGAGGATGCCGGGAAAGATGAGGCTGGGCGTTCGGGCTGGGACCAGCTTCAGGACGTCGCAGTTGTAGCGATTATGACCGGTAGCAAGAAAAAGAGGGTAACGAAGCAGCAACAACCGAACAACATCAAGGGTAGGTTGGGCCGCTGTGGCCCGGGGTTGCTGCCGATTCTGCTGCACTCGATGACCGGCAGAAACTGCAGGGCGTGTCTGACAGTTTCCCAGCTGTCGAGGTATAGAAAATCGAATATCAATGTAAAGCGTCCATAATGGCTTTACTTCCCACAAGATTAGCGTGCAAGGATCAGTGAACAGAGTGAAGCACAGCGAGAGTGGTGGAAGTGCAGCTTGGAATCTTCACGTTTCAATTGAGGGACCGCCACACCTGGCGCCAGCATCCACTGCCTTGACGCTGCAGTGATGCGCGAGTGTACTCGCAGCAGGCCGGACTTTCTCATCCAGAAGCGGATCCAGAAGGCGCTCATCCATGGTGGTCTGATGTGGGTGGGTCATGGTGGAGTGACGTTTGGGCACCTTCACATTGTCCCTGCAGGACAACAAGTTCGCTGTTGCGGAGGATTATGCGTCCAAGATGGCTGCAATCTCGCAGGTCACCCACTGGTTTGAGGCGCGAGCCTTACTGCGGAAGTGGAAGCTGAACGTTCCACTTTGCATCTCTGATGTGCAATGATGGCACATGAAAATTTGTACTTTGGGTCGCTCTCTGGTGGATTCCAGGGAGTGTAAGGGGCGTGTTACTCGCGGGCTAGGTGACGGTGCGAGGTATCTGCAGATCCAGTCGGGAATCCCAACTAATCGAGTTTGAGACTTGGTTTCTGATGCTTGTCAAGCCTCGCCACTCTAGATATCAAGTCTCAGAGCAGGCAAGAACATCCAACACAGACTGCTTCACAACAACGAGTCCGGAGAACATGCGCTGCCTGGGAAGAATCCTGCATAGTCAACCTGAAGAGCCATGTCCCACTTTCGTTACATGGAGACTCCACAGATGCTGTCACCAGGAGCGTCTGTAGAAGTGAGCACGCGCGCTCCCGTCGCGAGGGCAAGCAGAAATTTGACTTCGCGGAGACAGAGAAGCGTAGTTCTGAGTTCATCAAGCAGGCTGGCGGCCGGCCTGGCCTTGTTCCATATAATATACGATAATATACTATAATATGAGTTATTGCCTTCCTCCAGTAAAGTTTGGGCCGTTGCGGCCAGAGTTGCAGGAGATGAACTCCTGCAACGAGGAGCTGAAGATCAGAAGACGACGCTCAGCAGTTAAAGGGCGGGGCGGGTGTCAGCGAGTTTCGCGCTTTTTGCCAGGCATATATAGCATAAAGTATAAAGACGGTTTGCGAGCAGAAATGATCTCAATATTTGCCGCCGCTGCGCCAAAGCCCCGTCCAGGAACTCGGCTCAGAAACCTTTATGAGGCAGAGGCCGGGAGCCGAGAATTTCTCTTCCAATTCTTTGGTCTTTCTTCCTGTCCTGTGAGGAAGACTGAGGTGCAGGTGCATCGAAGACATTCGGTCGAATTCTCCTGGGTGCCGGTCGTTTTGAAGTTTCCTGGAGCACAAACGGGCTTGCTTGAGACCGTCGCGACGCGACACCTGCATTCGGCGCTGTATCCAGTGCTTCTGATGTGAGACGTTTACCTGGAGACACTAGAGACAACAATTACGCATTGATTTGTTTGTTTCGACAGCTTTGCGGATTGCTGTTCGGGCCGGGTCTTTACACCAGGTAACTGTTGTGTAAGCGCACGTACTTTCGTTCCTCCTTTTGCTGCCGCACTGCCGGACCAAATCGACTGGGGGTTGGGAGGAAGTGAGGGGGAAGCCGACTGCAAAGGGTCTCGCCCCCTGCTTCGTAACTCTCCTCTTATCGGCATCAGCTCTTTCCCTCTTGACGGTGTGTCCCAAGGCCAAGGCTTACGAAGCTGAACTAGCTTCTCTGGGCCTGGCTGTGCAACGACACCTGTATTGAGCTGCCGGCCAGGGGCTCAGGGAAATTGACCCGTGTGTAGACAGCACAGTACACTCTCTGCACCTGGTCTCTGCTTGGCTTGGTCTGCTCTACAGCTGTAAGGTGTTTGCTCTAAGCCGGCACAGCAACATGTCTTGATGCAAAGAGCAGAAGACGGTGTGGACGAGCTTTGCTGGCAATCCGGACACTGCCCTTGCCTCTTCTCAGGTCTCCGTGACATGCTCTCGGCGTTAGATGTCTCACCATGGCTGCGCATCTTCTCAGAAGATGATGGGCCCCTCAGTGCACGGACTGGCATCGAGCTCGGGATCCCCTAAAGCACCGGAGAGAGAACCCGATTTCTACACAGAAACCCATCGTATTACAGCCGGGTCCCCGGGCCGCTCGATGAAGATGGCGAATCGAATCGAAAAAGGATCAGTTGTGGTTGTGGCTCCGAGGGTCACGGGCGCTGGCTTTAAGGCCCGAAGAGTGGACTGTTCTTCCAGCAAGTTGAGCAATGCAGAAGCTTCAAGGTTACATACAGTATGACGGCTTCCGGATAGTAGATGCAGCAACTCAAAGTGATCTCGTTGCACATTTTTTCCGGCGCGAAGAAGCTTAGTTCTTTTCTCTACTTATTTTTAAGACGTAGTTCAATAGATTCAAAGTTCAGAGAAATGGATGAGGCGGAAATGGCCGCAAAGCATCGGTTGGACTTGAGCAGGGCAGGGAGGGGAGGCGGATTGAGGCCACAGCCTAGTTCCCCCCCCCCCCCTCGCCCCCCAGCGTCTGAATGCTCAACTAGGTAACGAGGTATTTGAGAAGGCTGATTCCTGCAGCGCTGCTCTCAGCTCTCTAGATGCCAGCACGGCTTGCAGCGGATGCCCTCAGATACAACTTAAATGCTTTCGAAAGCGACTCATTGCAGCACATGTTTTCTGTGCGCGCGCTCTGTGCAGTAATTATAGGAAAAGGTTTAATTTACTTGCTAGGTCGATACCATTCGAAGGCTATCAAAGCCTGTATCCACAAGCAGTTCTTTGCTGGCATTTGTAGCCCCCTGCGGGTGAATCTTGAGCCGTTTGCCTGTCGCCCGAGTGAAGCAGGGAGATGCTAATGAATATTTTGATGCAGCCTTGACAAACTAAATCTGAAAATGAAGATGTTTGCAATTTGGGTGCAGGAATTTTTCTGACCCCCGCCCAATGATTTCTTAAGTCCATGCCCTCTGCATACTAAATATTCCAGAGCCTCGTTACGTACGGCAGATATTTCGTATCGCTGTGGTGCAGGGCTGGGAGCTCCAACTTCAAGGGTTTAGGGGACCCTTTGCTGGGTTCTTCTTATGTGATTTTATTTAAGTTGCCATCATAGGGATCTATATAGTATATGATAGAAAATATGATTTCCTTAGGGGGCTTGGAGCTCACTGCTAATGCAGAGACATCGCTTCTGCTCGTGCCACCAGTCGGATTCGTGTCGTCGAAATGGTGCTGGCCCTCAAGATTCAAGAGAACAAGGCCGCAATCAGTGAGGACAGAAACCTGAGGTAAGGAACCCCATGAAAGTTTCACGCCCATCGAGATGTCACTCATTCAGCGTGCCCGCGGCCGTTGCCCAAAGGAAGCCTCCATCAGCTGATGGCTCGAACTGCTCGAGGGCACTGAGAAACCGGGGGGGTTCCGGACCAGGGGGCCAGGCAGGGAGGCCAGGGCCACGAGTGCTTCGAAATTTTGAGACTCTGTTTTGCTTAGGAGGGACTGGGAGGGACGTCGGACTCGACTGGCTCCACACAGTGAAGTCTTGGTTTGGCTGTTTTCGGACTTCAAGCTTTGTTGATGGCGTGGCACGGACATGGGTCATGAGTGCACCTCGCATTTGCGTTGCATACTCACGACGGAGCTCTAACTCCCGCGTCCTCGACCACAATTCCCTTGCTACAAAGCCTTCTTGCTGAGCCGCAGTTTCCATCCTATATTATTATCATATGATAGTATATTATCTTATCTTATCTTATCTTATTCCTCTCCCTGCATGGGCCGACACTGGCGGCTTCCAGGCGGCCACCCATGGTCGATGTACCCAGACTAACGAGTCTTGATGCTGGCGCCTCAGGTCACGAAGAGCCCCCCTAATGCTCTGGTACCTGCAGCACAAGTTTTGTAACCCATCACTCGACTGGCAGCCTGGGAGATGCGCCTTGTAGCATATCCAGTGCAGTATAGAGAGCATAGCTTGATATGTCCATCTCATTCCGTGCGTGTTCCCTACGGCCTCCCTGATCCACCAAAGTTCTAGGCCCTGATCGCGGTCAAAGATGGCAGAGTCATCCAGAAGGCGAGGGTGTTGCTAGGAGGATTCAGACATTTCTTTGGTGTTTCTTGGGCACGGGTCAAGCAAGATGTATTCTTTATAAATAGTGTGGCTGGCACAGGTCTCGGAGGCTCTTCCGTTTGCACCGTAATAGAACAGAGCCGTGAGCAAATCATGCACCCTCGGAAATTTCGAGCACAAAGCCGATGTGCCCACAGTATACTGCTTAACAACGGACTCTTCTTTGTTGTCCTGCGCCTTGCCACCCTTTACGATCGCACTGTTTTCAGTCCTGCTCACTCAAAGACGTGGACAGGCACAGGCAGTAGCGCCCCCGCGCGCCAGTGCGCGTGGCAGCGGAAATGGTGGAGCCAGGAGCAGTGCTCCGTGGGTGGGCCTGTCAGGCTGGGTCAGTCAGGATCTCACAAAGAATCACAAGCGATGTGATGTGATTAGTAGGGTGATCTAGGTCTAGAGTGTCGCACAGCTTAGTGTCAAATGCAGAAAGCGTGAATAACTATCGATAATGATTACTTTTCTTTAGGGTTCCTTAATGTAGTTGTAACATATTTGATATACCCCCCCAAGCCTTGCTCCAATGATCAAGGCCTCTATCTTTGCTTAAAGATATGTTCCTTGCCTGCAGCTTGGCTGATGGGCTCTGTTCTGTGAGTGTGGCCGCAGGTTTCCGATTGCGAAGCACTTTTGCTCCAGCTCGCACGAGGTCAGGATTCCCGATAGTCTCCAGGACAGATGGCAGAACCAAAACGGGTGCCCGTGACTGTTCTCACTGGCTTCCTCGGCTCCGGGAAGACGACCTTGCTGAACCACATCTTGTCAACACAGCATGGCATGAAGTTTGCCATCATCGAGAATGAATTCGGCGAGGTCGGTGTGGATGAGAAAGTCATCAAGGAGGACTCGGAGGAGCAAGTCATCGAAGTGATGAACGGCTGCATTTGCTGCACCGTGCGAGGGGATCTAGTGAAGGTCTTGAAGAAGTTGCGCAGCAAGCTGGATACTTTCGATGGGGTCATCATCGAGACCACCGGAATGGCAGACCCGGCACCAGTTGCTCAGACATTCTTTGTTGACCCAGAGGTCCAGAAGATCTATCACCTGGACGGGATCGTCACTGTGGTTGACTGCAAGCATGTGCTGGCGCATCTGCAAGAAGAGAAGCCGGAAGGCGTGGAAAACGAGACGGTCGAGCAGATCGCGTTCGCAGATAGGATCATCCTCAACAAGACGGACCTGGTGGACGATGCCGCTTTGGAGGAGGTCGTAACCGAAGTGCAGAAGGTCAATAAAGATGCAGAGCTCATTAAGGCCCAGCACAGCAAGGTGGATCCGGCGAAGCTCCTCGGCATCAACGCCTTCTCGCTGGACCGAGTTTTGGAAATGGATCCTGAGTTCATGAACACGGACGGTGAACACCAGCACGACAACAGCATCAGTTCCATTAGCTGGAAGTTCGAAGGAGAGCTGAATGTCAACAAGATGGAGATGTGGATTAGCGAGATGCTCCAGACCAAGGCTGCAGACATGTTCCGTTACAAGGGCATGTTGGCCGTGAAGGGAATGGACACGAAATACCTCTTCCAGGGTGTGCACATGCTCTTCAATGGTGGCTTCTCTGAGGAGTACCAGTGGAAAAAAGGTGAGACACGAGAGTGCCGCTTCGTCTTCATCGGACGCAACCTCGACAAAGCTTTGTTGGAACAGAAATTCATGGAGTGCAAGGTCACTTCTGAGGCCAGGTTCAAGGTGGGAGACAGGGTGGAGGCCAATGTTCCAGGAGGCTGGAAGAAAGCGAAGATCATGAGAGTGTGGGACGAGGGCAACCCATATCGCATCCAGCTGGAGGATGGCACACAGGTGTGGGCACCGGATGATTCGGATAACTTCGTGCGGGCTGTGAAGGGTGGCTACTGAGGCAGGAGCATGAGGGGTGGTTACTCGACGACTTGGCTCGGTTGAGCTCCAACATTTAAGTCTGGCGACTAGTTCTGTGCAGCTGCCTGTGTATGCTGCAGTGCGGAGCTCACGGCACCGAGACAACACACAAGAAAAATGCTCGCTGCACCTTTGCATCATGCACGAGCTTCGAGCTGAAGCGGAAGCCTTTGTGCATGTGTCGCATAAAGCGCATTCTGCTGTGAGACGGTCTCCTTGGATCTCCTGAAAGGCCTTTGTGGCGCCGTGGCAGTTGGGCGCCAGCGTCGCAGGCTGCGCGCGCTGCCCTTCGGCATCTCTGCACCTCGGTGAAGTCCTCCACGTTCAGTCGGTGAGGTGATGCCGCAGTGATGCGGTAGATGAACTCCGGACTCAGAAGCTTTTGTAGTAGCTGCTTGACGCCCTGTGTTCACAGCCGTCAGAGCGTGCAGCGAATTTGCTGGAAACTCTGTTGATGGACCACAGATGCTGGTTTACAGTTCCCGTTCCATGGGGGACTACTTGTGGGCTTTGTGCATTCCCCGAGGTGGTGGGCACAGGCTCCGCAGCTCCAGAAACTGTCGCAGCTTGGTGTCATTGACAGGTAGGGCCTTCTTACGTTTTCACAATCCTGCGATTGTCATCGCCCACCTTGCGAAGCGGCGCTTCAGGTCTCCAATGACGATCTGGCGGAGATCGTGGAGACCAGCGACGAATGGATCTCACAACGCACTGGGATCAGGATCGCTCGGCGAAGATGATTTCTCCCCAGCACGTGACCTCGAAGTGATCCTCTAACGCGGAAGGGTTACCAAAGCCTTGCGCAATCCCCGCCCTCGATGCTCGAACCCGTGCCGACCATGCTGCCAGGAGAAGACATGTCCTGGCCCCCGACGAGTCGCTAGCGTCCCTTTCCCGAATTGGAGACGCCAGTCTTGTATTGACAAAGGGTCATGGATCTGAAATCCTGTCGCAGGCGAGTGCCTCTGACAAATACAAAGTAGCGCATTTTTATACGATTTTTTATGTTACAGATTTCCAGTGTGGCCCAGGTCGCTGTCTACAAAAGCTGCGAGCAGAGCTCTGGAAGCTGCGAAGACCCGCGGCGGCAACAGGGAAGTTGGCCCCGAGGAGTTCGGAAGCCCATGCAGGCAGAATTAGACAAATATTATATATTAATATATTGATATACTCATATAATAATACATCAATATATCAATATATCAATATATGAATATATATTGAGATATATATATATATATATATAGAAAAAAATCTGGCAGCAGACGCCAAGCCGTGTCGAAGCAGCTGAGGATGTCGCCCGAAGACGTCGACCTGGTGATCCATGCCACCTCTACACCGGACGATCTTTTTGGAAGCGGCCCCCAGGACACCCTCCTGGCCTTGAAACAGTAGCATCAATCCAGGTCACTTAAAGGTAAGGGCGAGGTGTGTTGTTGCAGCTGTGTCCCAGGAGAGTGTTTTGTTGCGCTCTTGTTCAAGGTTTCGCAGTATTTGCAAGAAGCCGGCCTGGCATAATCTGGCATATCAACTTGCTGCAACCGCAGGAAGCCATCGGGTAGCCCGGTAGCCTTCCAAACTGCGTGAAGGTGGCATCCATGCTGGGTGCAGACAACGCGGTAGCCTTCGATCTGACGGCAGCCTGTTCAGGCCACGAAGACAAAGTTTGCATGGCATTCGGCATTGATTCTGACCAGGCGATGTATTGCAGCTTAATGTTGCTCCCTCTTCAAAAGAGGGCCAGCAACATCATGGATTTTGGAAGTACCGTAAAACAGAAAACTGTTCTGGAGAAAGAGCTTCACTGTATACAGGGTCACCCAACAAGAAGAACTTCTGACCTAGCACCTAGCATGGGAAGTTTCGCATTTGAGGGTCACCAAATCAGAGATAGTGACACGTCAAAGCAGCACTTGCTACATCTCTAAGTCTGCACCCATCTGTCAGCAAGCTCCTGTGCACAGGTTTCGTTTTCGCGTTGACAACCGCGGCGCAGTATGTGCGCCGGGGGCCTCAGCAAGCCCAACTAACAGTTGTCGGGTCTCTCTCCGTCCCTTCCAGGCTCTTTTCGGTTATCTCTCTCTTCGCTGGTCTATCTGGCCTCCTGGTTGTGTCGCATTTCGCTTTGTAGCTTTCCTGCTCGGGGTCAATGCTTTTGTGAACCTCAGGCGTCTCCGTTTCTCTCTTCCGTCTTTCGGCTCTTTTTGCTCTCAAAGGGAAGTACAGCGGAATCCCCTGAGTCTCTGTGACTCCGTTGCCTGTGCATTCATTGCTGCTGGCAAGTAGAGCCCCACGGTTAATATAGGGGCCTTAATAATTAGAATAGGGTTTGGGGTATATTCTACTATAAATA